TAATATAATGCTTTAAGGTTTATCCATGTTGTAGCATGTAATAGTACTTTAGTTCTTTTTATGGCCAAGAAAATAGTTGGATCATGTTTTGAATCCATTCTGCCAATCTCTTAACTTTTGGTTGGAGTGTTTGGTCAATTTATATTTAATATAATCACAGATAAGATTTACTTGTGTCATTTTGTCATTTGTTTTCTATGTCTGTTTTGTCTATTCCTGCATTATTGCTTTTTTTTGTATTATTTTTTAGTGTACCACTTACATTTCCTTTTTTTTTTTAAATTATTTTTTTAACTGTATTTTTAAAGTTACTTTCTTAGTGCTTGTCTGGGGTTTACAATTAGCATATTAATTTATAATCTAGTATGGATTAATATCAATTGAATTTCACTATTAGATACAACCTTTGCTTCTATTTTGTTCTATTCTCCCTCCCCTCCTTTATAATATTGTCATACAAATTACATTTTTATAAATATAAGTGCACCAGCACAGTTTTGTAATTGTTGCTTTCTGTAATTGTCTTTGAAATAAAATAGAAATAAGAGAAAAATGCATTTATGCTGTTTTTATATTTATATAGTTTCTTTTACTGGTGCTCTTTATTTTTTTAATGTGGATATGAGCTAATGTCTAGTATCCTTTCATTTCAACTTGAAAGATTCTCTTTAAGTATTTTTGATAGGGAAGTTCTGCTAGTGGTGACCTATCTCAGTTTTTGTTTATTTGGGAATCTCTTAGTTTCAATTCCTTTTTGAAGGAAAATTTTTGTGAGTGTTGAATTATTGTTTCAAAGTTTTCTTCTGTCAGCACTTTGAGTCAGTTATCACTCTTCCTTCTGGCTTTATGTTTCCAATGAGAAAGCAGCCATTAATGTTACTGGAGATTATTGGTGCCTGCTGAATCACTTCTTTCTTGTTTTCAAAATTCTCTCTTCTTGAGAGTTGTTTATTGGATTTTTTTTGGAGATGGAGTCTCACTCTCACTCTGTTGCTCGGGCTGGAGTGCAGTGGTGCAATCTTGTCTCACTGCAACCCGCCTCATGGGTTCAAGTGATTATCCTGCCTCAGCCTCTCAAGTAGCTGGGATTACAGGCGTGTGCCACCATGCCCAGCTAATTTTTGTGTTTTTAGTAGAGATGGGGTTCCACCATGTGGGCCAGGCTGGTCTAGAACTCCTGACCTCAGGTCATCTGCCCACCTCAGCCTCCCAAATTGCTGGGACTATAGGCATGACCCATCACATCTGTCTGGATTCTCTTTTGAAAGTTTATTAGTTGCACAGGTTAGAGTTATTTAAACTTTTAAAAAGTTTTAAATTTTTTTCTTTAGAGAGAGGATCTCACTATGTTGCCCAGACTGGTCTTGAACTCCTGGCCTCAAGTTATCCTCCCTTGATTTCTTTGATCTTGTTGGATTTTTTGATTGGTTTTCTTTAAACTTAAGATGATTTCGTACATCATTTCTTGTGATATCCTTTCTGAGGCTCCCATTATATTTATTTTACTGTGCTTGATGGTATCCTACAGGTCCCTCTGAAACTATTCATTTTTTTTTCTGTTAATCAAACTGGATAATCTTCATTGATATATTTTCAATTTCCCTTATTCTTTCTTCTGACAGCTCATATTTCCTCTTGAACTTCTCTAGTGAATTTTTAATTTCATTTTGGTCCTTTTTTTAACTCCAGAATTTTTATTTGGTTCTATTACAAATTTTTATCTCTTTATTGATATTTCTTATTTGATGAGACAGCATTGCCATACTTTCATTTAGACTATTGTACAAGATTTCCTTTAGTATTCTGTATTTATTTGTAATAGATTTCAGATCTTTGTTTAGTAAGCCCCTGGTGTGTGCTGTGCCCTGCACTGCAAAAGTGTTCAAAGACCTAAGAGGGAACGGTGGGGGAGAAAGACATACAGGCAGACATAAATAAAGCTGGGCCAGGCAGTCCAAAAAGCTGATGGAATCAGTCTCTTCAGCCCTGACCTGCCTCAGAGTACTTTATCTTATATGTTTGCAAAGCACATAGCAGAGAGGGCGGGTGCAGTTGCTTAGAACAGCATGTGGTATAATTCTCACACTTTAGTTAACATACTTCAGCTAACAACTATTTTGCAGCAAGGTCAGTGAGAGCTGGTTATCTTTTTCTAGGCCTCTCTGCTCTTCTCGGAGACATACACATTCCCCTATTATGGTTTCACTTCTCTGGAGTTCACCCAAAGTTCACAGCAGCTTTGCTGCTGATTTCCCCAGAGGGGGTGAGCTACTCTGGGTCTCTACATAAGCCCAACTTCTGGGCTTCCTCAAGCAGTTTTTTAGTAACTGCCCCCCCCCTCGCCCCCGCCTCCCTGCCCCGCCGCCATATGTGGGCTGTGCTTCCTATGTCTTTGTTGTAATTTTTGTTGAAAACTGGACATTTTAAAAAATGTGAGACTCTGTAAATCAGAACTCCCTCCCTTTATCCTGGATTTGTTATAGCCTGGTATTATTGTTTTTTGTTTGTTTAATTAATTTCCTGAACGAACTCTTTAAAATCTGTAATCTTTGTCATGTGTAGTTGACGGCTTTGCTCAGTTAGCTTTATGGTCTCCTAAAGATTGGACCCTTAAAGGTTAAACATTTCCTTAAATGCTTGAACCAAGAGATCGTTCAGCCATTTTCAAGGTTCTCTGTGTATATGCTGGATATGCTTTCTGTGCCCTGGGAGCCATTTACAACTCTGTCTTAGCCTTCACTTCCAACTTTCCCAGAGCCTCAAGGTCAGCTGGAGGTGAAGGTTTACGGCTTTCTCAGGTAATTTCTGGGCACAATGCACAGCTTTGCACATGTAAATGCTCTTCTCAATTGCCAAGTCAATGTCATAGCTTGTCAAGGTGATTTAAGTCAACCACCTTGCTAGGTATTTTCTGTTTGTCCCATCTGATTTCCTTTAACCTCCCTTTTCTGGCTTTCTTTTTGGAAAGCTGTTGGCTGTTCTTCTAAAAGATAGCAGAATTTGTAGAATCGTATATGAAAAAAACAAGCCATGCCTTCTTGTATATGTTCCAAATTGGATAGAGACTCTGCAGTTTCCTGTGAGGATAGTTAGAGTGGTACTCTCCAGAAAAAATAGCCTCAAATTTGAGCCAAAGATGTAATGTTAAATTTTCTAATAGCTATATTTAAAAAAGTTAAGTAGTTAAAAGTAATAATATATTTAATTTGAGTCAGTGTATTCAAAATATCCTTTCAACATGCAATTAATATAAAGGTTATTAATGAGATATTTTACAGAGTTTTTTTTACTGAGTCTTAAAAATCCACTGCGTATTTTACACTTACAGCCCATCTTAAGTTAGAATAGCTATATCTCTGGGCGTAATTGGCTAGTGCCTACCATTTTGGACAGCACAGATTTAGAGGGAATCTAAGACAATTTTAGTTTTAATGAGGTAGAGTAGGAAATGAACCTTATGGACAAAATGAGGTTTGCTGAGGACCCTGATTTTAGTGATCAGTTGGGAATATATTAGGGCAAATGTGGAACATAGAGTAAGAGGGAGATGGAGTCAAATACCTGGCAGAGAAGGTAATTGTTATGTACAAAGGGACATGAAGTATTTGTAATTTACTCAATGTGATAGTGTGGTAAGGTAACAGATGATATGGTTTTTAGTCTAATAATTATGATAGTATGAATGAATATTCTATCCAACACTGCTGTAAGCACTTCAAATATATTATTTAATCTTATGACTCATTTATTTTGTGACCTTAAGTTCGTAGATCACTTTAACTTTCCTGGGGCTCTGATGGTTTCACATATAAAAAATTCAGAGCTGGACTAGATAATCTCTATGCTTCTTCTTAATACTGAAAGTCTGTATTTTTGGATATAATGATGAGGAAAAAAAATTACTGTCCTCAGGAAATTTTTAATCAAGTGGTGGTATGTACCCACTTAATTAAAATGCACATTAATTTGTACCTTAAAATAATTACAAAATGCTATGGAAATTTAAGACATACTTACTTGCATATAATTTGAATTAGGTTGAATTGAATAATAGTTGGTGAGTCAAGAGAAGTTTTGTGTAGGAGATGTTTGTTGATGCATGTCTTGGCAGGTGGTAGGAATAAATGAGGAGGAGGTGGAATGGAGTAATGAGGAGTTACTGCTTCTTACATTAGTACGTTATGTTAAATTATACAGATGATGAAAGAACATGAGTCAAGAAAAGAGAATGATAAAAAATGTACTTCGAATGTATCGTTAGGCGTGTTGGGTAATTCTATATTAGACTCAAATCTTAAAAAACTTTTAATATCCTGTTAAGGGTGTGATTGATCACTGGCAATAGAATATGGTAGGTACTGGAGAGACTGCTATGTGTTATTTAATAGCCACACATTTTATGCCTATATTTCCTGTCAATCAGAATGAGGATTGTGCAACTTATTAAGTGCAACTTATTATGTAAAATGTACTTTATCGGGCTAGAAAGTTTCAATTTATTAGCTTTGAAACTTTGTGATATTGCTTTTGATGAAAGTATGGACTGCGATTTTGGGTGGTAGAAGTCAGATTTGTGGTTTTATCAGTGTTGTTTTTTATTCTGTAATATAATGTTTTATTTCTGCTGAGTGTTAATCCTTTGTGATTAAATGAGGCTGAATAACTTTATGTCAGCACTCAGCATAAAGTGGGAGCCTCAGGCTGACTGTTTAAAACTATTTGTGTCTGTCCCAAGAGCTAGTACATAGAACTTCAAATGTGGCACAAGTAACCAAATGGAAAATCGTAGTTTTCTCAGAGGGATGGAAGTTATAAAAGCATTTCATTTAGCTCTGTAAACACTAGTCTCTCTCTCTCTCTCTGTCTCTTTGTTTGTGAGTATTTTTTTATTAGGTAAGCAGACTAATGTTTTCATGTCATATTTGATAATAAGTTATTTTAATAGGATAGTTTGGGCAATTTATAAAGCAGTTACATCCATTTTATTTAATTTCTTTCAGGTAAGTTGCCCAGGAGTCGTGCTTAAAGACAAAGAGGACATCTATCTTAGCATCTGTGTGTTTGGCCAATACAAAAAGACACAATGTGTCCCAGCCACTTTTCCACTGGTCTTCAATGCCAGAATGGTGTTTGAAAAGGTGAGTTCAAATATCAGATCAAATATTAACAAACAACAAAATCAAAGTGGTTTCAATTTTTGAATAGAAGCCCATAACATAAATTATTAGTGCTGAGTGTGTGCTTTGGTTTAATTCAAAAGGAAATTTGTAACTTAAATCTGGAAGCTTGAAAATATGCATTAAATATGCATTGAATCAGTTGCCTTTTTTCCTTGATTAGCTTACTCCTAAAATTGATTTAGGACTTCATGTAACATAGAATCTTGAATTCTAAATAATGATTTTCATAAAAATAGAGCAAAGTCATTAATAGATAAGATTATATCTGCTGGGTGCAGTGGCTCATGCCTGTAATTCCAGCACTTTGGGAGGCCGAGGCGGGTGGATCACCTGAGGTCAGGAGTTTAAGACCAGCCTCACCAACATGGGGAAACCCTGTCTTTACTAAAAATACAAAAATAGCCAGGCGTGGTGGTGCGTGCTTGTAATCCCAGCTACTTAGGAGGCTGAGGCACAAGAATCATGTGAACCTGGGAGGCAGAGGTTGCAGTGATCCCAGATCGCGCCATTGCATTCCAGCCTGGGTGACAGATTGAGACTCCTTCTAAAAAAACAAACAAACAAAAAACAAAAAAAAGAATATATCATGTTTAACTTATGATTGTTTCTTGGTACTTCTTTCTATATGTCTTTTTTCCCCTAAAACTGCTGCTTTTGGTTAATTATTACCAATTGTGTTTCTTACTTTTTAATTTCCTCTTTCTCACCATCTTTCCTTTCTTCTCACCTTTCTTCCTTCCTTCTCTTATTCCTTCTTTTTTCTGTCTTTTTCTCCAGAACCTACTCTATTCTGTGGACTTTTCTAGGCACTGAGGACACATGGTAAACCAGGCAAAATCCTCCCATCTGGGAGCTTTCATTGTAATGGGGGAAACAGACAATAACCAAGTAAATATGTGAATAATTTTAGATGGTGATAAGTGCATGAAGAGAATAAAGGGCGGTAAGAGGATTTGGGGAATTATCTATTTTAAAAGGTGGTCAGAGGAGGCAATAACATTTAAGCTGAACCTGAGTTATGAGACTATATCAGTTATTTGAAGGTCTAGGAGAAGAGCATTCTAAGTAGAATAATAACAAATATAAAGGCTTCTTGTTTGAGAATAAGCTTGGGGGGGTTGCAGGAATACCAAGAAGGCCTGGTATGATCATGGTAACAGCTAAGAGGAAGAATGAGAGCAGAAGTTGGAGACGGAGGTAGCACAAGCTACAAAGTTCGTTTATTTGTAATATCTTTTGTGTGATCATGGGAAGCAGAGAGGAACTGACATTTCTCGATAATGTCAGAAGTTTCTGCAGTTGTAAAAGGAATGATATTTTGGGAATGAGAGAAGAAACAAATAGTCATACATGTCTTCCTTTCCGCCTCCTCCTACATCTTCTCACTATAGGTGTTCCCGGAAGCAGTAGATCCTGGAGATGTGGTTACACAGCTTGAATGTAAGTTTTTTAACTTTTGAATTTCTGATTCTAAGACATTTTAGGATTTATTATCCTTATGGTCTATAATCTTGGATTAAATAAAAGTTTAAAGGGGGTTAGAAGAACTTTAAAAATCTTGAGCTGAGACTTTTTAATACTTTTTAGAGTTTCAGAATATTCCTGGAAATAATAAAAGATATATATTCTCCAGAGAAGCTGAGAATTATTTCTTTTTTTGTGTTTGGTCTATGGGAAACAAATTTGTTTAAACCTTTTATTGATTAAGATGATATGGGGTGTTTGTGATATAATGATAGAGATTCATGTGAGATTTTGCCCTGCAAACAATAATATGTCTTCAACTTCAGTATATTTCAAGTCAAGAGAGTGAATAACAGAAGATCAAAGTAATAGTAGCTTAAAATTTATGCTTTTGCATTTTACATTTGCATTCATTACATTAATAAATTACTTGAAAATTTTCAAGGCTGTGGATAACAAGTAAATTCTTCAAAGTACTCAGAATCAACTACAAAAATATATAACTATTTGTGAGAGCAGCAATGCAAAAATGTACACTTTTTAAGCTCTGAGTGTTAAATGAAAAGCTCTGTTAATTTATCTTTGTAATTAGAAAGGGCTCTAGGATCACCAGATTGATCTAATGTGTAACTGTGGCTCAAAAGGCCAGTAAAATTGGGCGTAATCATTATTAACTTTCCTTTCCATTTGGCCTCCCTAGTGGCTCCATTGCAACTCTAGCAATGTAGAAACATGTAGCCTGGAACATGCAAGAATTTGGGTAAATAGGAAGATTCCAGCCTATAGTCTGTCTTCATGGAGCTGATAGTTTAGTGACTCTTCTCCAAATAACTCTTTATGGCCAATACTAAGATCTTATTTATTTTGTATAGGTGTTCTAGCCCTTGGTATTATGTTTCCCACTGTGGCAGACTAGCTAGGTGGCAGTTTGGTGCTATTGGATAATGAATTTTAATATTTACTGAACATCGTTTTCAGTATTTGGGAAATTATATATATTAGAAAAAAATGAAGATAAACATTTCTCTCATTTTGAAATTCTTATGTTAAAAAAAGAATGCCTTTTTTTGGTCTCATTTGATTTGAGATTCTGGGGCTATAAGAAGAGTACTTAGTGGTTATTATCTTTTGGAAATTTTCTTCCCTTGATTTCCCTGATTTTTTTGCTTGGGGTCTCTTCCAAACCAATAGTATTCCACTTTTTGATATCCTTTTCAAATTCATCTTTCTCTGCCCTATCTTCAAATATTAATATACCACTGGCTTTTCTTCTCTGATCTCTTTTTATGCTTTGCTTATGGTCTCTCTTTATATAATACACTCCAAAGACTTGGCTTCTTGTATTACCTCGCCTCTAATTACTTCCATCTTAGTCTTTATCCTTGATGTGCTTTGGGCTCTTTGGTCTTTTACTCCTCCCTCAGTACCCCCTGTTTTGGTTCCCTAATTTTAAAAAAATGAACGAGTTTATAATACCAACACTAAAAGTGGAGAGACTAGAATGTGATGAAGTCTTCTGTATCTGTCACCCCGGTTCAGTAATTTTTGACATTTTGCCAATCTTATTACATGTTCACTCTGCCACCTAAAGAGCATTGCTGGAATATTCAGAAGCAAATTCTATGCATTATGTCATTTCACCACAAATACTTTGGTATGGCTTCTAACAGCTAGAGGCTTTGAAAAATATATAACCACCATGCTGGTATTACACCCAACAAAATCAGCAATTTCTTAATAAAATCAAACAGTAATAATTCACATTTCCCTGGTTATATCCAAAGTGTCTTTTTGCAAATGATTTGTTAAATCAAGATCCAACCGAGGTATGGTTCACACGTCATATATGTTGACTTCCTTTGTTTTTTTGTAGTAGTGTCCTACACATTTTTGTTTTTAATACTGTGAATTTATTAGAAAAACTAGATAATTTAGCATGTCATACAATTTGGGTTTGGCTGATTGCTTCCTTAAAGTGTTATTTAGATTTTTTTATTGCTTGTTTTATAAACTGATAAGTAGACATAGAAGTTTGATTAGATTCTGGCTTATTTTATTATTTTGGCAAGAAACCTTCACAGTTGGTGCTGTGTACTTAACGGCATTATGTCAAGTTTCATAAAATGTCTGATTGTTTTACCTTTAGTGATGCTAAGAATGATCATTTGGCTCCAGGCTGCATCAGGCTGATTCCTCCATTATAAGGCTCCTCATCAGCTTTTCATCTAATAGCTGTAGCATCCCTTGAGATATGTTTGTTTCCTTAGTGGGTTGCACATTACTATTTTTCTAGTACTGTCATTCATTTGTATTTATTAGCTAGAATTTTTCTATGAAAGAAATTTTCCTAAACATCAATTTTGTTATCTTGAAATATAGTTCTTAGAGAAAAGGCAGGGCAAATATCTCATTCCCTCCTTTCCTTACTTCATTTAACAGCTTTAGTGAGGTATAATTTATGTATCATAAAATTTTCCCATTGTAACTATAGTTAGATGATTTCTAGAAAATTTATACAATTGTATATCATCATCATTGCCCAATTTAGAATGTCTTTACCACCCCAAAACGTTTCTGATACCGATTTGCAGTCAGTCCCCATGCCCAACTCGCAGGCCCCAGAAACCAGTGTATTTTCTGTCTTTCTATATTTGCTTTTTCTAGAAATTTAATCTAAAGAAGTTATATAATATGAAGTCTTTTTTCTCTGGCTTCTTTTCATTTAGAGTAGTAATGTTTTTGAGAATCATTCATATTCCACATCTAAGTAGTTCATTCCTTTTTATTGCTGAATAGTATTCTGATGTATGGAATGTTTTCCTTCCACATGACTATTTGATGACGTTTGGACTGTTTTCAGTTTTTGGCAATTATGAACCTTGTTGGTATGAATATGTGGATATGTGCTGGGTTGTATGCTAAGTATATATTTAGACTTTTAAGAAACTGTGAACCTGTTTTGCAAATTATTGTACCATTCTACATTCCCGCCAACAATGTATGAAGGTTTCAATTTCTCAACATCATCCTCAATATTTGATATGATCAGTCTTTTTGATGGCGGTTGTGTAATGGTGGCTTATTGTATTTTTCATTGGCAATTTAATAGTGACTAATAATTTTGAACATATTTCCATTAGCTTTTTAGCTATTCATCTTTTCTTGTAAAATTCTTATTTAAATCTTTTGCCCAGTTTTGAATTGGGTTGTTGGTCTTTGTATTGATTGTAACTTTTTTTTTTTAATTCTAAATATAAATTCTTTATTAGATATATGATTTGTAAATACTTTTCCCAGTCTGTGGTTTGTCTTTTCATTCTCTCAATGGTGTCTTTTGAAAACTGAAAGTTATGAAGTGTAATTGATCAATTTTTAAAATGTTTTTGCTGTCATGCCTATGAAATATTTACCTAACCCATGGTCACAAACATTTCCTCCTGTCTTTTCTTCTAGATATTTTATATTTTTATCTCTTGCCTTTAGGCCCATAATATAGTTTGAGTTAATTTTTATGTATGGTATGAGGTAAGGATTTAGTTTTTTGTTCGTTTTTGATACATGGGTATCCAGTTGTCTCAGCATCATTTGTTGACAAGACTGTCGTTTTCCTAATTTAATTATCTTTGCACCTTTGTTGAAAACCAACTGGCTATAAATGTGGGGGTTTACTTCTGGACTGTCTAGTCTGTCCCACTCATCTCTATGTCTATCCTCATGTCAGTACTACTGTCTTTAACTTTATAGTAAGTTTTGAAGTCATGTTGTGTAAGTTCTTCAGCTTTGTTTTGACTGTTTCTAGGTCCTCTGTATATCATTTAAATTTGAGTTAGCTTGTCAGCTTTAACATAAAGCTGGCTTGGAACTACATAGGAAGAATATTGAATAGGAATAGTGTTGATAGAAATAGTGTTGAATTTAGAGATAAATTTAGGGGAGAACTGCTTTCTCAAAACTATCAAATCTCTGATCTATGAAACTGGTATGTATTTTCATTTTTTTTAAGGTCTTTAATTTCTCTCAACAATGTTTTAGAGTTTTTAATATACAGTGTGCATTTCTTTTACTGAATTTATTTCCAAGTATTTTACTCTTTTTGGTGCTATCATGAATAGAATTGTTTCATTTTATTTTTAACTTCTCCTTTGCAATTTTATAGAAATAAAATAGATTTTATGTATCTTAAACCCTGTACCTGCTAAACATTTTTTAGTTCAGATAGGTTTTTTATTGTTGTTGTTGTAGATTAATTTTTGTATACAGAATTATATATTCTAAGAATAATGGCAGTTTTACTTTTTTCTTTCTAATCTGTATATCTTTGCTTTCTTTTCTCTTCTTCTTTCTCTTTCTCTTCCTTTTCTTCCTCTTTCTCCTCTTCTTTCTCCCTTTCTTCTTCCATCTCTTCTTTCTCCTCCTCCTCCTCCTCCTCCTGTTCTTCTTCCTCTACTGGCTAGGACCTTCAGTACAATGTTGACTAGAAGTGGTAAAAATAAGCATTCTTGTCTTGTTTCTGATGTTAGGGGGAAAATATTCAGTCTTTCATAAAATATGAGGTTGGCTGTACTTTTCCTTGTAAGAGAGATGACCGTTATCAGAAAATCCTCTATGATTCATAGAAGATGGAGAGATCTATTCTGGACTGTTTGAGAGGTTTTATCATGAGTCGGTGTTGGTTTTATCAAATGCATTTTTCCATGTCAAGATAATCATGTGTTTTTCCCTTCATTCTGTTAATGTGGTTTTTTACATTAATTGGTTTTCCATTGTTAACCAGACCTATCACTTCTGGGATAAATTGTACTTAGTCATAATATGTAATCCTTTTATATTTTTCCCAGAATCAGTTTTATTTTCCCAGAATCAGAATATTAGCAAACTAATAAAATATAAATTCTTTTATATTTTCCCAGATTCAGAATATTAGTTTGCTAATATTTTCTTAATGATACGGTGTCTTTTTATGAGGACTGTTGGTC